TTAGGGGTGGGCAATATGGCTCAAATATTATATTGTGGTATTTCAGTGCATTCTGACGATAACAATAAATTTTGTTATATAACCACAACAAAAAAAAAAACAGAAATCAAAGTTATTCATTTGACAAAATTAATTTAACATGTTGCTTTGCAGTATTATATAAAAATAAAAAAACAAGGGTTAATTTTACTGAAATTATTTTATTTAGTAAAGTATTCAGTTTCCAAGTATAAAAATAAAAAAGATCCTTCTGTTATTTAGATTGAAAAAGTCTGCACAAAATATAGATCAATAAATCCACCACAGAAACTAAAGTGCAGGTGAAGTTTCCCAAAATAACTGAATAAAATGAAGCTTAAAATCTGTTGAGCATAAATGTAACATGCAACAAAATATATGTTTCTTTAAATGAGCTGTAACTTCCAGAACTTGTAACAAGGTGATCATCTGATCCTGAAGCTTGTTGGTGTTTCAGCTTCCTCTGTTCCTGCAGGAATGATTCATTTCTCTGATGCTCTGTCTCTGATCACATGACTCTGTTCATGCTCCGTGGACTGTGGAACTAAGAGACACTGTTGAGTTGCGTGTGTTTGTACCTGTAGTTTAGAGCGGGGGAGACGCATCCGAGCTGCGCCCACACTGGCAGCTCAGAGCGGGGTGAGGGAGAGAGAAAAAAGACGAGCTGTGTTTGTACCAGCAGCTTAGAGCGGGGTGGGGGGTAGGGAGAGACAATTGAGTTGTCCGTATCCGCAGTTTAGAGCGGGATGGAGAGACAGCTGAGACGCACGTTGTTTATTTTAAGCTTTTTAGCTAGCTAGTATTGTGCGCAACTAATTATCGTTATGCTAGTACCTACAGGTGGAGGGGGGTGCGCAGTTTGGTTTGGTCGTTCAGTGCGCTCGGTTCTGTTAACGGGGCAGGGCGCCCTGACATATTACATCATGAAATTAGCATATCATGATATCATTTATTTGCCCGGGCAAGCTTTTTTTACCTGTATTATCGTGAACGGTATGATATGGCCCAGCCCTACATTACATTGCCAAAAGTATTCGCTCACCTGCCTTGACTCGCATATGAGCTTAAGTGACATCCCATTCCTAATCCATAGGGTTCAATATGATGTTGGTCCACCCTTTGCAGCTAGAACAGCTTCAACTCTTCTGGTAAGGCTGTCCACAGGTTTAGGAGTGTGTTGATGGGGATTTTTGACCATTTTTCAAGAAGTGTATTTGTGAGGTCACATACTGATGTTGGATGAGAAGGCCTGGCTCTCAGTTTCCGCTCTAATTCATCTCAAAGGTGTTCTGTCGGGTTGAGGTCAGGACTCTGTGCAGGCCAGTCAAGTTCATCCACATCAGACTCTGCCATCCATGTTGTTATGGACCTTGCTTTGTGCACTGGTGTACAGTCATGTTGGAAGAGGAAGGGGCCAGCTTCAAACTGTTCCCACAAAGTTGGGAGCATGGAATTGTCCAAAATGTCTTGGTATGCTGAAGCAGTCAGAGTTCCTTCCTTTCACTGGAACTAAGGGGCCAAGCCCAGCTCCTGAAAAACAACTCCACACCATAATCCCCCCTCCACCAAACTTTACACTTGGCACAATGCAGTCAGACAAGTACCGTTCTCCTGGCAACCACCAAACCCAGACTCATCCATCAGATTGTTTGATGGAGACGAGTGATTCGTCACTCCAGAGAACGTGCCTCCACTGCTCTAGAGTCCAGCGGCGGCGTGCTTTACACCACTGCATCCGACGCTTTGCATTGCACTTGGTGATGCATGGCTTGGATGCAGCTACTCGACCATGGAAACACATTCCATGAAGCTCTCTGCTCACGAAACGTTTCAGCACAAAAAAAAATAAAATAAAAAAATGTCCAGATGACCTGACTGAAAAATGTTGGATTGTATACCTGGATTATGCTGATGAAGATTCTCAGTCATCCAGGACATGATGAATTCAAAAAAGTGTTCAGTACAAAAACAACTGGACTTTATTTGTAACAGAAGACGTTTCTCTCCTCATCCGAGGAGCTTTCTCAATTCAAAGAGCAGAGAGTGAGAGATTCAGGTTATAAGGCTGAGGGAGATAAGACACACATGTAGATTTGACAAGTCACACCTCATAACCTTAACAGTAAGAGTCTTGAGTAACAAAACACTCTTAGACTCTTTGTATGTGTATATATATATATATATATATATATAAAATTCTACTTGTGAACTTTAGTTCACCATTAAATCTCTGATTAACCAGATTCTACAAAAAAGAAAAACTATTTAAAATTTTATAGGTTTTCTTCATATTTGCTGTATTTGCCCTTAGTGTCTACATTTATTGTTCAGTTAAATATGTGGTTTTGTTTCTTGTTCACTAAATATATATTTTTAGCTTTGCTTTAAAGTTCTTATTTTGTGATTTGTACATCTGTGGGTTAAAGAACAAGTTGAACTAAAGGCTGTATTTCTTCTTTAAACATGTTTGAGGCAAATATTCCTGAGAGATCCAATAATTTTGTGTCTTTTTATGATTTTCAGCTGAGTTAACAGATAGTCGTTAAAGTGAAAACAGGATTTCATGATGCAGCCGGCACCGTTTATTTTATTTTTTTAATCTTCACCGTTAAAAAGAAACATATATATTTTTTATGACCAGCTCCGCTGGTCTCACCTGGTCCTCTCCTTGCTTAGGCTTGGAGCCAGGTCGAGCGGGCGTCATCTTCCCGGCTCCAAGCTCCGCTGGTCACCGCCAAGTATCATACGAGCTGGTGACTCGCAGAAGGCCGCTGCCCAGACCCCGACTGACAGGCTGACCGGGACAGGTCTGGGACGAACGGTGGAAGCAATTTTTTTTATTTATTTATTTTTTTTTTAAATAACATTTTATGTATAAAAAAAAAATTGTTTTTTAAAAATGGCTTCAGTGTGTATATATTTAAAAAAATATTAGTTCATTTAAAAATCGCTTCCATCATCCGTCTCAGACCCTTCCCGGTCAGCCTGTCAGCCGGGATCGGGATTCGGCCTTCATGATTACACGAGGTCTGGGCAACAGCCTTCTGCGAGTCACCATCTCGTATGATTCTTCGCAATGACCAGCGGAGCTCGGACCTGGGAAGATGACGCCTGGCTCCGAGTCTCTGGGGGAGAGGATCGGGGTAGACCAGCAGAGCTCCATCCAGCTAACTCTGAATTTTGTCATCGGCCACCAAGCACAAAAAACTCCAGCATTAGACCAAGGTGTTGTCATTATTGTTTTTAAAATCTTTAAAATGGGTTCAGCTGTTGCTCCGGTCCGAGAAATTGCAAATGGTGGATTGGTGTTTTGAAAAGTTTCTGAAAGATCCAGTGAGTCCGCCCCGACCAATCAGTGACTGACAGTGTTCTGATGTCACGTTTTCGTACCTACTCAGCCCGGTCGGAACACTAGAGCCAAGGCTTCTATAAATAGGGACAGGTTCTACGTACCGTTACTAATGGAAAAGGGGCATTATTGTCTTGAAATAAGGATCATGACAAAACAAAAAGATTCCTCCTTCATAGACTAAACTCAAACTCAGTTCTGCCAAATAAAGATGTTATAATTACCGTGGCTGCAGCTCCTCTTTATTAAAAGGAGGCCGAGGCAGTTTGGACATCTGATTAGGATACTTCTGGTGCACCTTCCACTGGAGGCTCTCAAGGCACGTCCCATTAGGAGACCTGGGACCCCTGGGCCAGTACATTCTGGAAGGATTGAAATTCCTAAAATACTAACTCTCTTGGATGTTATATCTTTTTAATGCTGTCATAAATCAGTCATGGTCAATACAAATTGGCCTATTTTACTCCCCACCCCCATAAATAAATAAAAACTGATAAAATTGCTACAAAACAATGCAGAATAAAGAGATTGCATACCCCCCATTAAAATGACTGACTGAAAGGCTTCAGCAGGTGGTCAGATAAGTCGATTTTTATTGACCGTGACTGATTTATGACAGCAATAAAAACGTAAAACTTCCACTGGATGAACAATTTTTAGGCACTGTTGATATGATCCTCCAGGAAAAGCTGGGTGGAGAGGCGTCTGGGTTTTTCTGCTGGACTTGTTTCCTTTGTGACCCGACCATGATAAGCATCAGACAACGGACAGATGTATTTCTGTTTAAAATCCATGAAACTTTATTAATACTCTGCAGCTGTTTCTTATATTCCTGAGTATTTTTGTTCTTGTTTTACATATTTTTACTAAGTTTTACTGTTCAGACTTTCTCCTGCCTATGTCAATCACTTTACAAGTTCTTGTAAAACCACCAGGCATCTAATGCTGATCTGATTCACCGTGGCTTTGTGTCCTGCAGGTAAGCACCCACCACATGCACTCATCCAGTGAGGACGATGAGATGGAGGGCCCTTTCCCCAACGACTTGTCTCTTCAACAGGTAAAAAATAAACCTCAGCTGCAAAACGTTCTTTTCTCTATTACAACAGTCGATAAAATAAGCTGCCATCTTATCTCTGCAGGCATTCTCAGATTATCAGATCCAGCAGATGACGGCCAACTTTGTGGAACAGTTTGGGTTCCATGACGAGGAGTTCAGCGAGCACGATGAAAATATCAAGTATGTTGTAATCAACGTTTCTCACAGCTAATCACAGCCTCAGGTACTAACTGACCTTATGTATACTGTTTGCTTTAATCCCTAGCATCATGACCTTGTACTGCAGTATTCTTTACTACTTAATGTTGGCTGATGTTTAAACATGTTGTTCTCTTTCCACAGTGCCACATTTGACAGAATTGCAGACATAGAATTCATTCTAGATGCTGATGATAATAGTGTAAGTTTTTATTCTTTTACTTTAAAAAGTGCTGCCATCTTGGTGCAGTGCTACTTCCCATACACAGACTTTATTGCAGTTAACATCAATACAGCATTTACACACAAAGGCTGTGCACTAACTGTCCACTTGTTCAGTCAGACTGCCATTTTGACAATATGTAGTGCCTTAGAAACTCTTCATGTGTCACGACATTGGCTGAAGTAGACAGCAATACATTGTGTTTAAAATATGGGCCAGTTAAACAAAAACTGCTTAAATGAGTTCAATTCAGTTTTTCTTTGAATAATTGACCTTTGGTCCCTTCTTGTTCCACTGGTCCTGCATATGACCCTCCCCCGTCCACCTACCAGCCACCGCTCTAAATATAAGGCAGTGATCAGTGCTTCTCACAGCACATGCTTGGTAATCTTTTACACATGCAAATCTAATCTAAAACAATCCATTATTCTGAGATTAGCTCTCTTTATGTACGTTAATCTCAGCTGCTTTATGATTTAGGACTCGCCCATATTCACTTGAGTATTTGAAAATTACTAACCATTCATAGCTTTAAATCATAATATAAAAATTTAGCTATTTTCCCGTTTGTCTCATTTTTATTATTTGCACTTTAATGCAGTTCTAAAGACAGTTCTGTGTAATAATAATTAGTATTTAATATCAAATCATGATTTTTGTAATTTAGATGTTGTGATATGGAAACAACTGTAGTCTCTGCTTGTGTAAATAGAATCAACGAGGAAAAAGTGTACCAGTTAATCACAGATATATCAGTGGTTTCTCTGCCATTACCTAAGGAGGGCACCCCACCTACCAAATCCCCCACCCCCCACTCTGCTCCACCACTTCCAGACATGGAGAGGAAATTAGCAGCTCAGCTCAGACTAAACTGTGAAATAAATGTAAAAATTATAAAAACATCCCTGTATTCTTCTTGACAGTGTAACTCCTACCCTCTAGAATATCTTGAAACAACAACACTGAGGTTTACTTTCATTCTCTGTTCATTTCATCCACCCATCCATCCATCCACCCACCCATCCATCCATCCACCCACCCACCCACCTACCCATCCACCCATCCACCCATCCATCCATCCATCCATCCATCCATCCATCTTCTTTACCTGCTTCTTCCATTTCGGGTCGTGGGGGTCACTGGTGCCCATATCCAGCTATCACTGTGTGAGAGGTGGGGGACACCCTGGACAGGTCTCCAGTCCGTCACAGGGACTAATCTAACCCTAACACTCTCTCACCTAGAGACAATTTAGAGTTACCCTTCAGCCTAACATGCATGTTTTTGGTCTGTGGGAGGAAACCGGAGCACCCGGAGAAAACCCACACATGCACGGAGAGAACATGCAAACTCCACCCTGAAAGTCTAAAAAAGTTAAATCTGGTCCTCTGGACATTCAAAAAATCAAAACAAAGCAAAACAACAAAAAAATATAGAAACGTTTCGTCTCTCATCCGAGAGACTTCCTCAGTCTGAGGTGCTGTTTTCAGCTCAGTCTCTTAAATAGCACCTTCTCAGAGTGGATCAACCAGTTTTGCTGCTGACAACCAAAACCAGCTGCTCACATGTTCAATAAGGACCATCAGCCTAACAATGGATCATTAGCACAACAAAACAAGTTTAACGTACTAATAGCTCATCAACACCATCACTATTCCAATAACAACACATTCAGTGTAGGACAACACTCCAGTAGTCAATTACATGCCAGGGAGACAGAAAAATGGGTGAAGAATTTATCTGACAGACAGCTCACCCAGCCAGAGACAGAGATTCTTGCCAGGGGACTGAACTTTGCGGTTGCACCAAGTAGAATTCCTCTGGTGGAGATGATCACAGCTACTGAGTCAGCCATCCGCAACAACAAAATGAAAGAGGCTGAAGCAGAACAGCTCAGAATCAAAGTTTCAGCCTGCCTCAGCAATGCCAAACCACCACCTTCCAACATCAGTAGAGAGGAGAGGGATGCACTCACCACTCTTAGCAAGGACAAAAACATCATCATTCTCCCAGCAGACAAAGGAAGGTGCACAGTGATTTTGAACCAGAAAGACTATCATGAGAAAGTTATGACATTCCTTAGTGACTTAACCACTTATGAACCTCTGAAAATAGATCCAGGAAGTGGTTACAAGAAGCAATTGATAGATTGCCTGAAAAATTTGGAGCAGGACAAAGCTATTGACCGTTTTCTGTACCACAGACTGTACCCAGGGGAGGCCACACCTAGTCTGTATGGTTTACCTAAAATCCACAAACAAGGTGTACCTTTAAGACCAATTGTTAGCATGATTAACTGTCACTTACAATGTTTCCAAATATCTGGCGTCTGTACTCATCCCTTTAGTTGGCAGCTCAGAACATCACATACAGAACACCATGGACTTTGTGGATAAGGTGAGGGATGTCATCATGGAGACTGATGAAACAATGGTCTCTTTTGATGTCACATCACTCTTTACGTGCATTCCTGTTGATGATGCAGTAGAGGTGGTCAGTTTAAAATTAAAATCAGACACCACTCTGAGCAGCAGGACCACGCTTTCCACAGAACAACTGTGTCAACCCTTGAAGCTGTGCCTGCAGTCAACCTACTTCACATATGGGGAGCAATATTATAGGCAGAAACATGGGTGTGCTATGGGGTCTCCAGTTTCTCCTATTGTTGCCAACCTGTACATGGAGGAGGTAGAAAAGAGAGCCTTGATGTCCTTTTCAGGGACACCACCAAGTCATTGGTTCAGGTATGTTGACGACACCTGGGTTAAAATCAAATCTCAGGAAGTCCAACATTTTACTGACCACATCAACTCTGTGGATAAATACATCAAGTTCACACGAGAAGATGTAAAAAATGGCAGGTTGGCTTTCTTGGACTGTGAGGTCTCAGTCTCTGATAGAGGACATTTGCAAACCGAGGTGTACCGCAAACCCACCCACACAGACCAGTATTTGCAGTTTGACTCCCATCACCTTTTGGAGCACAAGTTAGGAGTCATCAGGACTCTGTATCACAGAGCAGACAGAAGATGAAGATGTGCACATCCTGGACAGAGAGGAACGATGGTTTGAGAGAGGAGTAAAGGAGGCCATCTTTGTGAAAAGAAACCGTCCATCATTAAACAGGGGTGGAGGCCTCCGGGTTCAACTGTCCCCCTCTTACAATGCTGTGATTGCTAGTATCACTCAGCCCTCTGTGAACAGTAAACAGTCATCAGTGTGCTAATGATCCATTGTTAGGCTGATGGTCCTTCTTGACCATGTGATCAGCTGGTTTTGGTTGTCAGCAGCAAACTGGTTGATCCACTCTGAGAAGGTGCTATTTAAGAGACTGAGCTGAAAACAGCTCCTCAGACTGAGGAAGTCTCTCGGATGAGAGACGAAACGTTTCTACATTTTTTTGTTGTTTTGCTTTGTTTTGTTTTTTTGAATGTGCAGAGGACCAGATTTAACTTTTTTAGATTTTTCTACCTGGATTATTGAGCATGCATCAGGATATCCACCCTGAAAGGCCCCCGGCTGGGATTTGAACCGGGGCGACCTGCTCGCTGAGAGGCGGCAGCTCTCCCAACCGCGCCACCAGGCTGCCCCCTGTTCAATTCTAGTCCATAAAAACTTTGAAATTTCATGTTGGAAACTACAAACCTTCACTGTAAAAATCCCTCCGACAAATGACGTTGGCATAACACTTGTTTCTTTTAGGTTGCGTTGGTTGGGTAATAACTTTTTTATTTCAATTCAGTTTATTTATACAGCACCAAGTCACAACAGAAGTCGTCTCAGGTCACTGAACAGAAACATTCACATACATTATAAAAGCCAATTCGTAAAAGTTGTCCATCTAAAGAAGCAGAGTGCGTTGAATCTTCACTTCGTCACAGTCTCCCATCCTGAGCAAGCCCAAAAGAGACAGTGGAAAAGAATAACTCTCTTTTAACAGGAAGAAACCTCCAGTAGAACCAGCTCAGGATGAGCGGCCATCTGCTTCGACCGGCTGGTTTGAGAGGACAGGAAGTAGAGACAAACAGAGTGACTGTTCCGGATTAACTTTCTATAGGAGGAAAGACAAAAAACATGTTAAGATAAAAATAATTACAAATACAAACATGTAGAGTAAGTAAAGACAGCAGCAGAGTGAGGAAATGTCAGTTTGTCCTCCAGCAGTCTAAACCTATAGCAGCATAACTAAGGGACAGCTCAGGAAACCATTGCCAACCCTAACTATAGGATTTATCAAAAAGAAATGACTTGAGCCTAATCCAACAATTTTCAGTCAGGTAATCTGGACAGTTTCTTTTTTTTTTTAATGGTGAAACGTTTCACCTTCCATCCAGAAGGCTTCATCAGCCTGAGGAAATGCCAAACAAACTGATTCTCCCCCAACAGCTTACTCCCAACGTGGAAAATACCAGTTATGTTGGCTCTAAGATGGTCTCTGGGGCACGCCCCCTCCTCCGGTGCCTGCCCTTTCCCTCGTCTCCCAGATGACCTGACTGAAAATTGTTGGATTGTAACTTGGATTATTGAGCATGGACTTTGGTACTTAAGCCTAATCTTAAAAGTAGACAGTGTGTCAGCCTCATGGACAGAAACTGGAAGTTGGTTTCACAAGAGAGGAGCCTGATAACTGAAAGATCTTCCTCCCTTTCTGCTTTTGGAACCACAAGTAAACCTGCAGTCTGAGAGCGAAGTGCTCTGTTAGAACAACACGGAATAAAAAGATCTGTAATATAAGATGGAGCTAGGTTGTTGAGAGCTTTGTATGTTTTTAGGGGGTAAAGTGATGTCAAGTCTGAATTGTTTGTTTATTCACAGGCCAACGCAGCAGCTTTTGAAGCCTGCTGTAAAGAGAGGATACACCAGTTTGATGATGCTGAGGAGGAAGAGGACATTTGGGAGGAGAAGGAGATTAACTATGCAACACAAGCTAAATCCAGAACAAGGTAAACAATGCACACTGCAGATCTTTAGATGCCAACGACCAGAACCATTAACCAACTCCCCCCCAACCTTTTTATTTTACATCCTCCCTCTTTCAGGTTTGGAGTCTCGCAGACCTCAGAGGGAAGTTCCAGGAGCAGCCTGGAAAACGGACATCAGGACCAGGATCGTGGATCTGAATCTGATGAGGAGGATGACTCTGAGCAAAACTCATCAGATGCAGGTTAGTTTAAGATTGGGCTGATCCCAGACGACAACTAAACCATTAAGTTTTGTCTCAAAGAGAAGCCTTTTCTAATGGTTTTGTTCTCAGGTCCAGACTGGTCGGTAAACTTCAGGGATTCTGAAGCGAATGTTGCGTCCCAAACCACAACAGGGTGGGAGAGCCTGGGGGGGAGTGGAGCAGAAACAGGCTGGGCAAACTTCTCTGAGTTCCAGCCTTTTACTGGGTGAGGAAAACTCCAGCTGACCCAAACCACCACATCGTTCTTAGAAGCTGAACTTATTAGTTTAGTAAAATATTGTTCATTGAACCAACAGGTAACTTTACACCTGTCGAAAAGAGGACGTGTTATTTTACAGTCCTGCCCATAACTTCTGAAAGATAATTTAATGAAAGTGTATACACACAAGCGTCATCAACAGACTGTCACATGCACTTTTGATCACCCCAGCTTCAAGGTCAAGGTCACAAGTCAAGGTCAAAGTTAGAACAAGGTTTTTGATTGTCTGGGCCATAACTTCTCGTCAGCTCAAGATAATTTCATGAAACTTGATACACATTTGTACCACTTGTAGACAGCATGTTGCATAATCTTTTCACCACCCTAGCTCTAAGATCAAGGTCAAATCAAGGTCAAAGTTTATACAAGGCATTAGGCTGCCCATGTCATTGCTATAGATTACTGTATTGCTGTAAAATAGTTTGATAGGTGTGCTGCGTGTGGTACTCTGGTTAAATAACTATTTTATTTAACTTGTTTTTTAAATGATTTACAGTAGTCCCTCGTTTATTGCAGGTGTTTGGGACCACGCCCACCCGCGATAAGTGAAAAACTGCGAAGTAGGGATACAGTAGTTCAAGTTCAAGTTCAGTAAACTTTGTCATGACATGTACCAGGCTGCAATCACACTCACTCGTCACCTGTTACTCCCAATCTCCCTCCTTAAATAAACAATTTAAATTTAAATACTGTAGCATTTTAAATAAACAATCCATACATCATGGATTGTTTATTTAAAATGTTGCAGTATTTAAATTTAAATTGTAGAGAGGAGAAGTGCAGCAGGACATTAAAGGGATGACACGCAGCTTCAGCTCTGCAGCACGGAGCAGGAATGTACTTCTTGATCAATTACACTGAAACAACTAAACACAGAAATTCTAAAAGAATTAAAAATAACTTTCAACACTTTTAGATTTTGTGATTATGATGATTTTTACGATGTGACATACTTTGAATTTTAAGTTGGAAGACAAAAGTCGATCGGTGCATCTGGACAGCAAAGGGTTAACCCTTCACAAATCTGCAGCAGGAGAAATGTGTGTGAGGCAGAGATGGAGATCAGCTGATCAGCTGCAGGAGGGAGCTTCCCCTTGCGTTTGTGGGCTGCACACATGGTGCAAAATGATTTAAAATAATTTATTTTAAATAAAAAATCCATGCTGATCGTGTGGCTCATCCACCAATCAGCCAGTTGTGTGTCATATCAAATCTTGCTTTGAAAAACCACGAAAGAGCGAGTCCTTGAAAGTCGGAACTGCGAAGTAGCTTCCTGTTCTCCACAAACTAAACTCACTACTTCACTGGCTTCTGCAAATAAAACATCTTCATTAAAAACTCTTCATTTTGTGTCAGTCTTATGTTTTTATTTTGTGCTGACATGATGGGAACTGAAATCTCTTTTCTGCAGCACTCAGGAGGCTGCTGACAAATACTTCCACTCACCTTCAAAATAAAAGCAGAGATTGTGGATTTACATGCAGCAGACTTCATATTTGAGTTCTGTTTTTATTGACCACGCTGCAGGATGAACACGTGTGTTTTAGAAGCGTTCTTTCAAACATTAAAGTTTTAAAGTGTTTTTTGGGCTTTTACAGTTTTCAGGAATCACCGACTAAATATGGAAGAAATAAACAAGTGACAACCAGACCACAGCGGTCTGAAATGGACAAGAACATTATTAGCAAAAAGTGAAGTTTCATAGACAGTTATTAGTTTTAATTATGCAGTTCCTATTTCTTCTTCCTGGTTTCTCAGGACTGAGACTGGTCCCCGCTGCAGCTCTCCTGAGGACAGCATCGATGCAGATAAACAAGCCAAACAAAACCACGAAAAGAGTGGTGAGCACCTGCTCCTTCAGCACTTTACCAAATCATTCACATGTTCCACACATTTCTGGTTTGAGTTAGTAGAACTACAAAGATGGCAAATTCACCATTAACAGGTTAAACCTGCGCTCCTAATTATGTTGTTTGTGTTTGCAGATGCTAGTGCCTCTTCTGATCCTTCTCCAGTGGATGAAGGGAAGAAGGCTCCACTTGTGGCCTCAGACAGCAGCTCCTCTGGGGGGTCCGACAGCGAGGAGGATGACAAGAAGGCTGGAGCTCCCCCTGCTGCAGTGATTGTCACAGAAACAGCCTCCAGTAACAAGACAGCTGACCTCAACAGGTCTGTATGAGCTGAGTGTTCACAGGGTACAAGAGCGTTAAAGGATACATGTATAAAGAAACAACACTCCAGTTGAATAAAAACATGTATTTTCATGCGTTTCACTTATTGTGAATATTGATTTGAGCTTTGCAATCTTCTAAAACCTGAATATAACCACAGACAAAAAAAATATTTAAAGTTTTTACGGTTCTTTTTGACAATACACATCAGAAACTTGTCAGAAATGGATAAAAGCCTCAAAGTAGAACTAGTCATTGTTTGTTGACAGACAGCTTTAGTCTGGGTGAGTCCTTTCTATTTTGGTTGTAATAATTAAAGAGCAAGTCATGAAGTTAAAAGGCTAAACACGTTTGTTTAACCATCTTAATCCTGCAAGCAGCCAAAACATAGAAGGGCCAGTACTAATGTAGGGCCGTGGATCATTTTGTTTTAAAATAAATGTTTTTTTTTTTTTTGCACAATCCAATTTCTGCATATTTCAGTTTGTGTTCACACCAAAGGTTGTGAAAAGTGTTCCTCACTCTGCCTAACTTGTTTGCAAACCTCCCAGGACTGTCACTGTCGGTGAGGACAGCTAGGGGTTGGGCGATGTGGACTCTAAAATGTTTCTTAATATCTTCTGGTATTTACAGTAGTAATTGTATTACAGTAATCTGGTAACTAATCAATTTTAACACGTCTTTACATCTATCGCGGCACAAGAAACTATAAAAACAAATGTTTCCTTCATCAGGTATGTTGTTCAGCTAAATACCCAGAAAGAATTCAATACAACTGTATTTGAATTCAGTATTTATTCATTTGTGGCGCTGAAAATGACATTTTAATTCAAGTGGCTAAACTGTCAATCCCAGCTGTTTTTGGAGTTAGAAAATTAAAATGAAGCGCAAACACAACCTGACAATTTGGGGAGTGGTGGTGCAGAGGTTAGAGTAGATGGGCCTGTGATCAGAAAGTCGCAGGTTCAACTTCCAGTACCGTCAAGATCAGAATGTGGGTGGAAAAGGTGAAACACCCACTCCTGCCTCCACCCTCATTTGCCCCACTCTGGGCACCTTAGCAAGACCCTTCACCCCCATCTGCTCCTAAAAACAGGTCCCTCTTGAAAAAGAATTCACGTGACTCAATGAGACTACCTGGATAAATAAAGGCTAAATGGAAAAACAAAAGAGAGAAAAAATTACAATGTAAGAAACAGTCACGTATGGTGAAGGTCTAATTATTATTGACCGCAGCAGCTTTATTTTTGCAGAGAAGTAAATATTTCAGACAAACATGTATTTCATTGAGGACAACAAAGACAACGTTACTAACACTGATATATATTTAACTCTACGTTAGATTTATTGTTCAGGATAAAGTTTTGCAAGGCTATAGCCTATGCTAGGTTATCTAAGCATTAGCTTGCTAACTTGAGAGGCACGTAGCTAATGACAAGCAGGTTGGAGGTTTGAAGAGAATTCATTATTGTTGATTTGTTTTACAGATCAGTTAAAATAAACTTACCATGCCCTATTCAGCAAAATACTCTACAAAGTATTGCTCCCTGCTTCATCTGTGCTGAATGTGAAAGTGAAACTTAAAGTGTTCATGCGCTCTCTAATGGATACAGTGTACATTTACTGCTGGTTCCAGCATTTTAGGGGTGATGATTAGAAAAATTATCACAATACAATATGTCCCCAAATGTTTTTATTGGCCTAAAATATCGGCTTTACCAATATATCGGTGGGGCTTTTGCAGAAAGTCTGAATCAGGCTGTTTTATCTCACTGTGTTACCTCGTCGGTGGTTCCAAATGTTGGTTATCGGCGGTACCTTAAAAACAGTGATGGTAAACAGGCCGTGACTCACTGAGTTGTTCACTACAGGAAGAAACGTACAAACTTCCAGCATTGTGGATTTATTTTTTCCCCTTCATGAGATGAAACCTTTAGAGCAGGGGTGTCAGGCTCCAGGCCTCGAGGGCCGGAGTCCTGCAACTTTTAGATGTGTGTCTGATGCCACACAGCTGAATCATGTGACTGAATTAGCTTCTCAGTGCAGTCAAGTTCTCCAAAGTCCTGCTAATGACCTCCTTATTTGATTCAGCTGTGTGGCATCAGAGATGCATCTCAGAGTTGCAGGACTCCAGCCCTCCAGGCCTGGAGTTTGACACCTGTGATTTAGCGGGACCGCCCTTCTCTGTACTGGTGCTCCTGAATTGAATTGTAAGGGGGTTGGGGAGGACTGCTGTTGAGAACAGGAAAGGATTTTATTTGTTTAATTGTTGCCGAATGACTTATTCAACAATTTATTGTAAAACAAGATGATACTGCCCATATCTCAAACTAATGTGAGTTAAAGAGGAGCATCTTCTGTCAGACTTCAGTTCTGCTGGTTTGCACATGTTCTGTACTGGTTGACCAGTCCACTCTGCAGCTGTTCTCAGAAACTGCCGTGTATGTAAACCTATATTTAAGACTTAATTATGGCCTTGATGTAATTGTAGTCTGGAGTTAGATGTGAAATTACTAGACGTGTTTATGCTGGTGAAGATTCTCACCATTCTCACCATTCTCAACACGTCTAGTGTCTAAACACTAGACGTGTTTAGTTTTGCTGTTTTTCTTCCTGTGTTCTCTGAAGAAACTTCTGCTTAAACTGAAACTGAGGAATGTATAAAGATAACTGTAAATGTAGTAACATGATAGCGTTGTCATACCCAGGAGTGCACAAAGACACTGACGGTGTTTCTCTACCATTATCCAAGGAGGGTGCCCCGCCCTGTCTACCTTCCAGCTCCGCCACTTCTGGACAGGGAGCAGAGATTGTAGCAGCTCAGACTCTAAACATTCCCACAATACAAGCGGAGCACTTCGCTATTACACCCCCCCCCCCCCCCCCCCCCCCCCCCCACGACCCTACACACTCACCATAGCCGGGAACGAGCCAGAACGAAGCCACGCACCCTCGCACTCCGCCCCC